TGCTGAAGATAATGACAATTCCAAATACTGGGTACCTGTGGGAAGAAAACTACAGCACTCGGAACATTTTTAGTGTCTTTACCAGTTCCTCTCTCTGATACAGTGTTACCATTTTTCCTCTTCTTACTTTTACTTCTTTACATACTGACATTTCTTAAAACCACATAGATTTATTCAAGTCATCTTCAAAAATAACTCAGCAATTTTTAAAAACTGATTTTGCACTTTTTAGTGACAGCATCTACATAATATCAATTAAAAATTTTAAATTGCACAGTTTCAGCAGAGATACCTTCTCATATCTATGTTTCTAAGCCCCTTATTAAAGAGGGGTAGCATTACAAACAAATCCATCTGCTGTGGTACCATTGTTCTCCACATTCATTACAAATAACATAAGTCAACATCTGTTCATCTGGATTTGTGTTTCGCACCCAGCCTGGAAGAAAGAGAGTTCCTCTGGCGATCATAGTGACAGTGCAGTCAAATTTTTCACAGCGCCTACACTTTATTTTGTTTGTCTGTGTGCCATTAATAACTTGTGGAAGCTGATGCTCCTGAACAGATGATTTTGTGTACAGAGCCCTGAGCTCTTTCAGTTCATTGCTGGCCATTTCCATCACTGTCATCTCAGCAAAAGCCTTTGGACTCAAAGTCCCTGAAAAAAGGTTATGTTTTAAGTGGCAACTTTTAGGGTTCTTCAGGTTAGAGATTTTGCTTCTGATGCAATTTTTATACTTTTTGTCATTTTTAGCATGAAGAGCAAAAATATGTTCTTCAATTTCTTTAGATAGCTCTAGCCATTTATCAGTTTCTTCTTTGTCTTTGTCAGAACCAGCCAAAGCTTTATAAAGAAGGTCCGTACATTTACACCTCAGAACTCTCACTGGATCCTGCTGCAGACTTGCTTCGTTAGCAAGAGGTTTCGCATCTTCATTATCAGTGAGTCGCTCCTCAGGTGAAGCAAGCTGATTCACGCTGCCTTCTGCATCGGTATGCAACACATTTTTAACAGCTTGTGATGGGATCAAAACTTCAGAACTAGTAGCACCTAATGCCCCGTGCTGACATGGTCCTTCAGACAGCGACTGCTCTTTAGGAACCACATTGAGATGTTCAATTTCCTCTTTTACATACCCAGAAACTGACTTTTTAACTTGCATTGACTGAGCACAGTTATTCTTGTAAAGTGCTTTCCACCTTGATAATAACTGTTTTGCTTTCTTTTTCAACCCTACTGAAGGGCAGCTCTTGAGTACTCGGTATACAGCCTTGGCAACTTCAGTACCCTGAAGATATTCTATAGTCATATCAACATCTTCAAGCTCTTTAAGATGTTCTTCAACATCTTGGAAATTGTTCTTAGAAAGTAGCTTTTCAATACAATGGGCTCTGTGTACAATATTTTTCTGGTCAGACATTTTTAAACCTGAAAGCCAAAAAATGTTTATCATAGTTACTACAGTTATGACATTAATGCATTTTTTCTATATTCTCTCAAGGTTTAATCGCTATTTTACACTACTTTATTTATATATATCACTGGTTTTGCCAACTTTTTCTTGAAATGGTATATAGTGGAGTTAGTGGAGCAAATGTAAAACACAGAAGAGCCTGGGTTCCTGGGAAAGTGCAAGTGGGCAGGACAGTCTAACTCATGTAAGGAAAATACCGGTGGAAAGAAGAGCCCAGGGACTTCAGCTGTGGTAGGGTTAACAATTTAAAAGTAGGGCAAGACACTAACTTTTAAAGAAAAGCACAATGTTTTGCCAAAAAAATACACTAACAAAGACACTGCAAGCATAATAAAAATGTAGTCCTATCTGTTGTATGCACGTACACCACAACAGAAGTTCACAGGGAGACTCTCAGCTGCGGTGATAACTACACAACCATTCTGCTGTCTGAGATCACATGTAGACTTGGCAGCATTTTGTGCATTAGTGGAATCTAGTACCACCAGACTACCAAGGAACAATCAGTTCTGAAATTCAGCATTTTTCAGCAAAAGCACCAGATAAACACCTGTCAGTGTTTAAAAATCTAGACACTATTATCAAATGACACTCTCTCATGAAAAAAAGGAAAAAAAGGGAAAAGGGAAAAAAAGCAAAAATAAGGCTACGTATGTATGAGGCACCTCCTCATACATACACAGAAACAATAAAAACATTAGTAGGGTTTTTACAGCATTAGTGTCAGCAAGTGGAATCTAATAAAATACTATTTTCAGAGAATCAGTTTGGTTTTCTATCACACAAATTTGAAGGCTATTAAAAATTAAAAGTCTATTAAAAACCACGTCTGGGACTTTCTGCTGTAACAGCTATTTGAATAACCTAATACCCTCACACTGCTGGATACATTCTGTACTAGCTTCCCAATAATCTCCAAAGGCAGATTTTTAAGTAAACGTTGCACTAATTTAATCTGGAGTTGTAATAACATGAAGGTTTTCTGAAAGACCCCAAACCCAGAGAGATTGTTGCTGCCATCTTTCCAGAATGCACACGCAAAATAACCCTCCTCAGAAAAACTGAGTTACGTCAAATATGCAAAGGGCGAATGTCATGAGGATG